CTTAGTAAAAACAATCTGGTGTCGGGTTAGAGAGATGGCTCAGTAGTTGGAAATGGCACTATTGCAAAGGACTCATGAAAGTCTGCTCACAGCTGCTTGTAAATCCAGTTCCAGGGAAATGGATACCCTCTTCTGACTTCATGGGCATTGCAGGTGTGTATACTAGGCCACAGTTGGACACACATATACACATGATTAAAACTAAAATCTGGGGCTGGAAAGATGGCTGAACAGTTAAGAGCACCAGGTGCTCTTTCCAGAGTACCCAAGTTCAGTTTCCAGCACCCATATAGTAGCTCCCAACTCCAGGCCCAGGGTGATCTTCACAGGGTCCTGGAGAAGTCCCACAAAAGATCATCATCTACATATGCAAACAGCAAGAATGATTAGAGAAAGCTTCCAGCATGCTGGGGCCTGCCATCCCATACAAAGGCAAGATGACAAAGACCCTGAGAGAGAGGTGTGAGCTGCTTTTAAGCATAGCAAGGGGAGGTCCTAAGGCAGGTCACTTCAGACACGCTTGGCTCAAGCAAGTGGCAATCATATTAGCACATTCTAATTGACCAAGGCTAGAGGCTTAGTCAAGGTAGTTTTCCATTTTTGGGCAGGCCTAGACCATGGCTTTGTCTTTGAGCTGCTGTGGAAGCTGGCTGGCCTAGCACGTATTGACTGGGGGGGCTGGCTCAGTGGCACAGGCTTGGTGCATCCTATCTCCCTTGTCTTGTTGTCGGGGCACCAGTGATTAATTGTCTTTTGTGGTTCTTCCTCAGAAACTGCTTGTCCAGCCTCAGGAAACTGAAATTGAGGCCTGATCTCTGAGAGAAGACTAAGCAGCTTGTTATGGCGCCTGCTCGGTCCTCTCAATCTGATGCCCTCTACTGGCCTCTCCAGGCACAGCATAGATATGACAGACCTTTAGACTGAACATGGCGCACAAGCCAGTAATTTGCTACCTCCGTACCAGATAGGGTGAATGTCAGAATGGTAAATGAATTTTTGGGTACAGATTAAGCTCTTAAAAAAATATTCCGGGTGGCAGTTATGAAAAGCAAAGGCTTGACACCTGTAGTGACACCTGTAGTACTAGCATTTGGGAAGCCGAGGCAGGATTGTCATTTCCTGGGCTATAAAGCTATTTCTAAAGAAAAAAAAAAAAATTTAAATACACATATTTCAGAAAGTTTCAGCGTAAAAACCGAACATTGGAAAATTAAATCTAGCCAAGGTTACCCTGTAAATTGGCAGTAATTTTGAGATTAACCTCAATAAATCCAGTAAGGTCTTCCCCTCTAGGGCCGAAAGTGAAGAGGGGCTCAGCAGACAGCTCCCCCTCTATCGTCATCCCGAACATCTCCCGACACTGGCATGTTTACTCACCACTCGGCGGGTTGAACGGCGCCTTATGCCCTCCTCCCAGCCGCGATGCTTGCCCAGGTTCTCCCGCGCCGGTGTTTACCACAACCTTCATTCGGGTCGCCCGGCCTCCATCTTTGCTTGACACGTGACTCGGTCGCTGCCTCTGCTTCCTGTGGAGGGACTTCCGGTCCGGGAGCTGCTAAACTGCACAGTAGCGGAGACGGGGCGGGGCTGCAGAGGGCAGCGCTTGGCTAGCCCTCGCCCAGGTCTAGCCTGCGGAAATAGCCATCCACTGGGGCTGTCAGCCCGAATCGTCCCCGGCTGGCACACAGCCTGCTTCCGGCTCCCCCGTGTGTAGCGGCGGGGCGTGTGGAAGCCGCTCGGCTCCCAGCGGGTGTAGGCTGCCCTGGCTGTGAAGTTAGCCCGAGGCTGAGATGCCTTTGCTCCATCTGCTTTCGCTTGGGTCGTTAGCTCTTTGTGCCATGTTGTGCTGTGGGTGACTTCCAGGGGAACGGGAGCAGTTCCACAGCCAGCGCTTGTTCGTCTCAAGCATTCCGGGTGTCCCCCAGAACACTGCTTATGTGAAACAGGGTTCGGTGAATGCAGTGAAAAAGTAACTGTTCAGAAGCAAGGGAGCCGGCGGCGTGGTAGCATACGCTTTAATCTCAGCATTCATGAGCTCCAGGTCGGCCTGGCCTACATAGTGAGTTCCAAACAAAGCTGCTAGGGGATCAAACCGCTGAAGGAGAGACAAAACAAAACCTCCCCTCCCCTTCCCTCCCCTCCTCTCTCTCTCTCCTTTCTTTCTTTCTCCCCCCTCTCCCTCCCTCCCTCCCCTCTTTCTCGTTCTGAGACAGGGTTTCTCTGTATAAGTCTTGGAACTCGCTTTGTAGACTCTGCCTCCAAGTGCTAAGATTAAAGGCATGTGCCACCACCGCCAGCGAGACAAAATTCTTTTTTTTTTTTTTTTATTTATTTAATGTTGAATGCTGTTTATTGAAGGAGGGAAGAGGTCTTAAATACAGGCTTACAGCACAATGGGAGAACCCCAGAGGGCAGAAGTTCGCTACTGATGTTTTACAATCTTGCATCTAAGCTGTTAACGCCCATTATGCAGGACACACAGACAAGGAACTTCCCTTAAGTATTCAGGAGGGTGGAACCTGGCAGGGAATTAGCATAGGGAGGATATCAAGGTCAAGGTCAGTAAGCAAGGCAACAGTTACCCCAAACAGGGGCCAGGACCCTACAGGTCCCCCTTTTACTAAAAAGTGAGCTTCTGATTTAGGTTGCATGGGATGTCAGCAGGTCACCTTACCCATCATGGAGATGCCTGCCCAGGCCACACAGGCGTTCTGTCTTAGGTTGGTGAGTGCCCCCCCAGATATGACCCGTCTCTGAATACTCATTATCATACAGGCTCAATCATGTGTGAGCTGCAGAGTTAACTGCTGCCAAAGATCTCAAAGTGGCACTGGGCTTGCAATCTGTGTGTTCGACACATAAAAGACCAACAGAGGTCCTAACCCACCCATAGCCAGTAGGCTAAAGGTAACTGAGCCATTCCCTTCCTTAACGAGCCTTTACTGCAAATTGGAGTCCTTGTAAGATGGTATCCCAAAAGCAAATGGAACTTGAGTTTATATATTTTTAATTTTCAAAGCCAATCGAAATGTATATAACTATTGAATTAAATTTATCATGCCCAATAGAATGAAAGATTAACTAACTGTGGTAGCTTCTTTTGCTGCCAGGGTCTCCACTGTGCTAGATGTAGTAAGCAATTATGAAATGGTAATCCCAGAAACAGTAGCAGCAGTGGCCGCCACTGCTATAACAGCAACAATGGCAGCAGCAATGTCAAATTCTCTTCTGGTGTGTGTGGACATCCACTGGCATGGATACAACTCCAGGAACACGAACTGCCAAGGCCCATTTTTCTTGATCCCAGCACGACTTAAGCTGGCAGCTCTGCAAAAGAACAACTAAGAACCATAAAGAAAAAACAGGCAGCTCATAAGGAGCATAACTAATGGTCTTATAATGGCTACATTCAGGCTCATAAATTTTAAGGTATCTTCAAAGGGGGGCTAAATGAATTTCAGGAGACCAATAAATGTTGCACATAGCCACTCCTGAAAAGTAGGTACTACACCAGCTTGAGGAGGATTGTGAAAATAAAAAGGCTAAGCTGGCATGCTACTGTTAACAAATGCAGGTCAGTGACCTTTAGGGTTATCCTTAATCTCCAAGGTATCTGGGTGACACGTTCTCAAACATACTTGAAAAAGCAGTTACCATACATTACCTTCTGGAGAATCCAACCACATGGCTTCAGTTCCTAGGCTTACGTTAATGCTTGCCAAAGCTGGCCATATTGGGCTCTCAATCCCCATTGGCATCAGAAGGGAAGAATTTTTCATGAAGGCCCAATAGGTCTCTGTCATGTTGGGCTTCAGCAGCAGCCACAGGGTGCACACAGTGCTCAGGAATCCAAAGAGGAACCTCATTGTCCTGAGGAAAGACATAAACAGAACCCCGGGCCCACACCAACACCAGATCGGATCTCCTCCAAGTGCCAGTAGAAAGATCCTTCCATCGCTCCAAAGGGTGATTTGTAACAGGAGCCCTCCAGTGCTTATCTGCAGCGGATACTCCAGCAGAATCCACCGATAAAAAATTTAAAATATATAAAACAAGGGAAAGAATAGAATGTGGAGAGGAATGATAAGTCCCTAGTTCCCCCTTTTTTTACTTTAGTAAAATATGTTTGTTTTTTTAATAGTTCAAATTTTTCTTTCATTTTTTATTTTTTAAAATTAATTAATTAATTTTCTATTATCAGCTTGATACAGTATGTATTCTTATCTTAATAGTGAAATGTTTCATTGAGGCTTGCTCAGTAATTGAGTAAAACCAAAACTTATTATAAGCCACAGTCGTTCTAGGGTCCCTCATGCTATATATATAGCCTCCATGGTTCTGTGGGTTGTAGTCTGATTGTTCTTTATTTTATATCTAGAATCCACTTAATAGTGAGTACATACCATGTTTGTCCTTCTGGGTTTGGGTTACCTCACTCAGGATGATTTTTTCTAGTTCCATCCATTTGCCTGCAAATTTCATGCTTTCATTGTTTTTCTCTGCTGAGTAGTACTCCATTGTGTATATGTACTGAGACAAAATTCTTTAACTGGTTATTTTGTAAAGTTGTGAATAGTTGGTAAAAATGCCTACCAAATTGCTTTGAGAGTCCTGATATTTTATTTTATGAAACTGTTATGCCCAGACTGCAGGGACCCCCCAAAAGACCACCCCGGAGACTGACTTCCATATGTAAAAGCAAAGAGCCTTTATTTTCAAGCTTGGTCTGTCTGTCTGGAGGAGATTAGGCCTAGCATGGCTTTTGAAACCAGAAAACCCACCCCTAGTAATATACCTCCTTCAATCAGGCCATACTTCCTAATCCTTCCTCAACAACCCACCAATTAGGGACCAAGCATACAAATATATGAGCCTATGAGGGCCATTTTTATTCAAACCACGACACCCACTGAGCTATCTTGCTGGCTCTCTGTACTTTAATCTTTATAATGCTAACAAGGTAGTGATTCATACATTTAAGAGGAAACACAGCCAAAAGCTGAATAGTAACATGTCTTTCATGTAATAAATGTTGAACCAATATTACATGTATACATGCACAATTATTTGATATAATTCTGTGAATTTTATTTCTGTGTTTTTCCCCCCTATAAATACACTAGACTGGTAACTATAGGCAAAGTAGAGGCCAGAGATAGTTGGAATGCAGCAATAACAACAAAAACAATAATAATGATAGCTGCTATAGTCAGTTTTTGTCCCCACAATGTTATTTGCTGAAGCCTTATCTTCTGTGGTGGACTGAATGAGATGTCCCTCATAGTCTTGGGAATTTGAATTCTTGGCTGCCAGCTGTTGGTGCTGTTGGAGAGGCTTAGGAGGTGTGGTCTTGTTGGAAAAAGTATGTCACTGGGGGCAGGCTTTGAGGGTTCTGAAGCCCCACGGACAGTCCAGCTGGTATTCTCTGCTTCATGCTTGTGTTCAAGATGTAAGCCCTCAGCTTCCTGTTCTTGCCACCATGCCTTTGCTTCTCCATTGTATACTCCAACCTTCTAGAGCCTAAACTCTTCTACAAGTTGCCTTAGTCATGGTGCTTTATTATTATATTATGTATTATATATATTAATAATAGAAAAGTAATTAATGCAACCTATGAGGTGATAGTGTTAGGAAGTGGGATTTTGGGATATAGTTAGGACTTTGCCCTCAGGAATAAGACTAGTACCCTTATATAAGAGGCTGCAGAGACCTCTTTTGCTCCATCTCCATGAAATAAAAAGGAGCCATTTTTTATCTAGAAGGCAGGCCTTCCCTAGACACCTGTCTCAGTTAGGGTTGCTATTGCTGTGATCAAACACCATAACCAAAGCAACTTGGGGAAGTTGGAGATAGTCACGCCAAGTGAATTGTCAGACTTAGAAAGACACACAAAATCATGTGTTTGTGTGCTTGTCTGTATTCATGCACTGACACCAGAGGAGGGCATCAGGTCTCCTCCTCTATTACTCTGTCTTATTCCTTTTCAAGCAGGGCCTCTCACTGAATTGGACCTTGTGTCTTTTGGCAACATAGGTATACATAAGTCCCAATGTTCTTTTTGTCTTTGCTCGACTTAGCACTGGGATTACAGGCATGCATGAGGTCAGGATCAGCTTGTTGTGTGGATGTTGGGATCCAAACTCTGGTCCTCCTGGTTGAGCACCAAGTGCTCTTAACCTTTCAGTCATCACTCTAGCCTTAGAAAAGACAATCTGAAGTAGGTAAGTAAGGTACAGTGACTCAACTTTCAAATGGCAGGGGAAATGAAGAAAGGTCAACCTTACCATCTTTCCAAGGTTACCAGTTTCTAATATAATCATATACAAGAATGAACTATGGGATCTCATTCCATAACTTTTCTCATCAGTGTTCATTTTCAGAATGACGATAAATACACAATTGAATGCCTCAGCAGATTCTAAAGGAGGTGCTGTGAATTCTTTTCTTTAGATGTTTCTTTCTTTAGGACTGGGTCTGAAGCATTACACTTCTGGTTTTTAATATATGACATGGAGATAGGTGATACGTATTTAAATTGTAAGTGAAGGCAATTTGTAACTAAGAGTGTACTTAGTATACTGATTTAGGGTAGAGAGCAAAGGGATATTTTTCTGTAGGAGGCATGGATGTCACTATGTTCACAGATAACACTAGGGGAAACAGGAATGTTCAAAACACAGGGCTGTGCCTTCAAAGGGAGGGATGTATAACCTGTTTCCACCCAGAAGGCTGGGAGTGGACGTGGTTAATAGCCCGGTAACCTTTGTACTATGTGTGTGGCCGAGACCACACTGGATCCTCCCCAGACCCTTATCTTGAGCTTGTTTTTCGTTGTCAATCTATTAGAACCTATCTTTGTGGAAGATGTCACTTGTACTTTACAAAGTGTTTCAATGTAGTCATGTCTTAAGTTTTGTTGTGCATATGGGATTGAGTTAATCACCACTAGGACATTTTTTACCAAATTGTGCTGTGCTTAAATATGCCTAAACTACACAAGGTCAGGCTCTCGAAGTTTGAACCAACACCTGCTACTGGGTCTTGTTGAACTGAACTGTCTTCTTACCTACCTTGGATCATTGGCCCTGGTGGTTGCAGAGATCCCTACAACTGCCACCCAATGTATGGGGCTTGACCCTTGGTGAAGGTAATAAAATTTTTCTGTAAATAGAAGCGGAGGGTAGGAGTTGGGTTCTCTCACTCAAGGGGTCCCAACTGTGAGAAAGTGAAATTAGCATTGGTTCTTCTCAGTCCTCTGATGCAAAGCATTTTATATGATTATTGAGATACCTGTTAAGACCCAGAGGAGCAAACTATTCAGAGCAACAGCTCTGCAACTTTGTACCAATGACTGTAAAATTCAATCCTTGGTTTCTTAAACAAGGAATCATTGATGTTGATAATTGGAAGTGCATAGGAGCTAATGCAAAAAGGGCCCAGAAAAGGGGGATAAAATCCCTGTCAATTATTTTGCAATCTGGACTGCAGTAATATATTGCTTGGATTCTCTCAGGAAGACCATTAAAAACAATTGTCAGCTGGACACTGTAGTTTGACTTTTCTTTGGGCAGCCAGCTCACAAATAATGACATGAAGACTTATTATTAATTATAAAAGGTTGGCCTTAGCTTAGACTTGTTCCTAACTAGTTCTTATAACTTAAATTAACCCATATTTTTAAATTTATGTTCTTCCACAAGGCTCATTACTTCCATCTCCATACTGCCCATCCTGCTTTCTCTGTGTCTGGCTGGTAACTCTCTCATGCCTAGATTCCTTCTTCTCTTTTTCTCTCACCCTGGAAATCCCACCTATCCTCTCCTGCCCAGCTATGGGCCATTCAGCTTTTTATTACACCAATCACAGCAACACATCTTCACACAGTGTACAAATATTCCATATCGGGACACATCTTGGCAGGTCTTGGCAGAGCCAGCCAAGTGGACTCTGAAGCCACTTCCTGTTGGTACCGAGTCAGCTGTGTTCAGGGATCGCACTCCTGTGTGATCTGAGCAGAACTTAGAGTCCTCCAGCTCTGAGACCCTTTCTGCTGCCCAGTTCTGGTCCAGTGGGGAGGGGAGTCTGGTGGCACTGCCTGAGTTAGGTAGTTCCACTGTTGTATGACCCACTGGAGCTTGGCTGCTTCTGGGCTTTGTTTTTTTGTTTCCCCTCACAACAGGAATGACCTAGTACAGACTGATCAAAAACTTAAACAGGTTATATGTTCCTCCCTTTGAGGAGACAATCCTGTGTGTTTAATATTCCTCGTTCCCCTAGTGCTTATCTGTCAGCATAAGGACCTCCATACCTCCTATATTTTCCCCTCTTAAGAACTTCCTGTTCCTCCAACATTTAGCTCATGCTACCTTCCCCATAACATCATTTGCCTAAATAGTTAAGTTACAATCTCAGTTCCCTCACATTATGTGTGCATCTCTTAAACCATCAAATACTATGTGTTCATAGTTCTTATTCCTCTTCTGAGAAGTCTTTAGGGATCATTTCTTATTACATGCACAATCCCTGATGCATACCAGGTACCTGTTATATCTGCATAGGTAACACTTGAGGCTCCAAACCCATTTCTTTCTTTCTTTCTTTCTTTCTTTCTTTCTTTCTTTCTTTCTTTCTTTCTTTCTTTCTTTCTCTCTCTCTCTCTCTCTAAGATTTATGTATGTATGTATGTATGTATGTATGTATGTATGTATGTATGCAGGGTTCTGCCTGCAGGCCAGAAGAAGGCACCAGACCTCATTACAGATGGTTGTGAGTCACCATGTGGGTGCTGGGAATTGAACTCAGGACCTCTAGAAGAGCAGCCAGTGCTCTTAACCTTGGAAGAGCAGTCAGTGCTCCTAACCTCTGAGCCATCTCTCCTGCCCCACTAAACCCATTTCTATACACAACAAAGAAAGAAGGATGAAACTTGCATTTGTTTTACATTTATATTTACTGAGTATCTGATATATGCTAGGCGAAAGGAGCAGAGTTACTTCTCACTCTTTGACCAATGCCTGAGTCCTTACAAAAAAGTCCATTCTGCCGAGTTGGTATCTACTGATTCTTTGGTTAATCTTCAGGCCCAGCTTTTGCACGCATTCTTTCACATACAGCATAGTGGTGTGAGCTATGTAATAGTCCAAAAACTGCCTGAAATACTAGAGGAACGACCATTGCTTTCATCCCAGTTTGAGAAAGGGTTAACCAATAGAGTATAACTCTTCCTTTTGGTGGCAGTGGAACAGTATGATACCTGAAAATGAAAAAGAGACAACCATGTCTCCTGGACTGACACACTATTGAAAGCTGCTGATTTTTCCTAAACTAGTCATTTCTAGTATACGTCTATCATGTAGATAACAAAATTATATGTTAGCAGGCTATTTTGTTTTGATTAGCCTGTAACTAAAGAAAAAGAAGAAGTTATCAGCACTCCCCAACCCCCCCCCCAAAAAAAAAGGAAGGAAGGAAGAGAGAGAGGGAGGGAAGGAGGGAGGGAGGGAGGGAGGAAGGAATAGAAGAGAAAGGGCTGGAGAGCTCAGTCAGTAAAATACTTGCCATGCAACCACGAGAACCAAAGTTTCATCCCCAGAAATGCAGGTTAAAGAAAAAAAAAAAAAAAAAAGCCAAACCTGGTGATGTGTGCTTACAAGCCAGTGCTGGGGAGGCAGAGACAGAATGGTCCCTGGGGCTCATGGTCTAGTCAGCCCAATGGCAAGCTCTAGCTCAGTGGTTCTCAACCTTCCTAATGCTGCGGCCCTTTAATATAGTTCCTCATGTTGTGGTGACCCCCAACCATAACATTATTTTCACTGCTACTTCATAACTGTATGTTTGCTACTGTTAGGAGTAGCAATGTAAATATCTGTGTTTTCCAATGATCTTAGGTAACAATTGTGAAAGGGCTGTTTGACCCCTCAAAAGGGCTGGGATCCACAGGTTGAAAACCACTGCTCTAGACCAATGAGAGACCCTGTCTCAAAAACATAAGGTGAACAGGCATAGTGGCATGTGTTCAAACCCAGCACCAGCAAAGGCAGGCAGATTTCTGAGTTCAAACCCTGCCTGATATACATAGAGAGCTCCAGGCTATTCATGGCTGCCCAGTGACATCCTGTCTCAAAAATATAAAATCAGGTGGACAGCTTTTGAGAAATAACACCTGGAGTTGACTTCTAATTACACGCGCGCGCGCGCGCGTGTGCGCGCGCACACACACACACACACACACACACACACACACACACACACACGGCTGGGGGATGAAAAATGGAAGAATAAAGTAAAAAGAGAAGGAATGGGCAGACTTACTTTACTGCCAAATGTCCATTTTTAGAAAAAGCCAGACCACTGGGATATGAAACACCACATATAAAGCCAATCAGTATACTTCTCAGAACACAGTTTTCCCTGCTTATGTTACCTAGAAAGTGAAAGAAAAGTTGGTTTCCCTTTAAGATTTAAGATAACAATTAATAAATAGAGCAGCTGTCCCTCAAAGCACAGTTATTTTGCTATTTGCAACCACAGGTAAACAGTAGAAAGGACTTTAGGAATTCAAAGTCTGGCACTTAACGGGCTTAAACGCATCTTGTTTTAAAACTGTACTTATTATACTCTAAAATATGAAGAATTATCATTTATGTATGCTTTTTACAGAAGCAATGTCACAGTAAGAATACTAACCTATCACATCCAATACCTGGATTCTAGGTGAACACACACACATATTGTTTACTATGTGACAGGTATATGCTAGGTACCAGGAATATAAGTGTCCTTAAAATAGACCTTTCAGTCAAGTGTGGTGCCACACAACTTTAATCCCAGCACTTGGGAGGCAGAGGCAGGGGCATCTTTGAATTCTAGGATAGCCAGGGCTACAGAAAAAAAACCTTATCCTGAAAAAGGGGGGGGGGGGGAGGAAGGGAGGGAAGGGAATACTTCTAGTCAGTATATTAGGGAAGAAAGTCATTAGACAAAGATTACAGAAAAACGGTAAGAGGGACTGGAGAGACAGATCAGCACTTGAGTGCACTTGCTGTTCTCACAGAGGACCCAGGTTCAGTTCCCAGAACCCACATGGTGGCTCACAACCACTCCCAGTTCCAGTTCTATGGGAGAGTATCACTTGCTGTTCTCAACAGAGGACCCAGGTTCAGTTCCCGGAACCCACCATGGTGGCTCACAAACCACTCCCAATTCCAGTTCTATGGGAGAGTATCACTTGCTGTTCTCAGAGGACCCAGGCTCAGTTTCTCGGAACCCACATGGTGGTTCACAACCACTCCCAATCCCAGTTCTATGGGAGAGTATCACCTGCCTTGCTTGATGAGGACTGTTGCACAGATCAAACCAAGAAATACATGTAAATGATAAAATCACATACAAATATCTGAGAGTATTACAAACATTTGTTAATGAGGAACTTCAATTCATCATAGCCACATCATGTACTGAAGAATTTAAGTTTACCTGAGTGCAAAGCATCAGTTATAAAGAGCTTGTAAGTAATGACGGTAGACAAAAATGGAAGGGTAGCTAAGGTAGCAAAGCTCTTCAAAGCTTCATGTTGGACCTTGAAACTGCTTCTGAAAATGGCGTTTGCCAGTACTCCAGACATGGCACTAGTAGTTCCATAGAAAATTCCATGCATATCTAAAATACTGACAGGACCAAAGGAAAAAAACTAAGATTAACATGACATTCTTTAAATGGATCTATTGTTTTTTCAGTAGTTATACACTATAACATATTTACCCAGCATCAAATGTTTCGTGTTATTAAAATAATTGTCTCAAAGGAAAAAATTATTTGTTTAAGATCATCTAGAAAAAAAAGCTATTTTCACATGGTTAGCCTGTCTAGAAAAGAACTATCTGTGAATTGGCCCATATACATTTGAAATAATTTGTCTATGGTTTATGAAACTTCAGTGAACAAGATCTGACAGATTTGGTTTTACTTAATCCTGGCTCATACCCGAATCAATAAAGCTCTACAGTTGAACTGTTGTTTAACCTATTCTTGAGTTATATGTGTCAGGGAGGGGGTCCACATTTGCAAACATGAATATGAGGCTGGTACTGGTAACTGTCCACGACCGTTCTTTATTAGTTAAGGCATGATCTCTTAAAGTCAGAGCTCACACTAGTTTTGCCTGTCAGCTTGCTCTGGGGATTGCCTGTCTGTTGTCTAAGGCTGGAACTGCTGCACACCTTGAATGTCTATGGTTTCTGGGCATCTAAACTGCAGATCTCAAACAAAAAGAGCTCTGACCACCAAGTCCCTCCCCAGCCTTGCCAAACTGACTTGAATCATAATTGCTGACCAGTAAAGGATAAGTACCCTTCAATCTGGTTTCACGCTAATTGCTTTAATTCAAAGAATATTTGTACAAATAATATTTCAGCAATGAGTTTGGGCAATTTTTTTTTTCAGAAGCAAAAGAAGGGGCTTAAAACAGCCTCTAATGAGTTTCAGGGGCTCCAAAGCTCCTTTCTCGCTTCCCCCAGTATATGCTCACATACATAGCATACAGTTACACAAACAGACACATAAATAAAAACAATATATATAAAAAGAAGCAAAAGAAATTATCCAGTCTAACAAACCACTATTTCAATCCATTGCTCAATCCATTGCAATTTCTGTCCAGTTCTTAAAAAAAAAAAGGGCATTCTTCATAACCAACTCAGTAGGTAGTTTTTTGTTTGTTTGTTTTCTTTTTCTCCATGAATTATTTATTAGCTGTGTTTTCAGAACTTTTTTTTTTTTTGGTTTTTCGAGACAGGGTTTCTCTGTGTAGCTTTGCGCCTTTCCTGGAACTCACTTGGTAGTCCAGGCTGGCCTCGAACTCACAGAGATCCGCCTGGCTCTGCCTCCCGAGTGCTGGGATTAAAGGCGTGCGCCACCACCGCCCGGCTCAGAACTTTTGTATAGGCATCTTTTGGAACTTCAATGTTGCCAGTTTTCCTAAAACCCTTCCCCACATACATGAATATCTGGAAGATTCTCTTCTTAGACAGCTGTTTAAGATAGCAATTCAAGCAAGAGAAACTGTGAAAGCCTATAGGAGAAACATTTTGGCAAAATGTTATAGTGGTGACACTACCCAAAAACGAAACATTTGAAAGAGACAAACAGAAGGAGCAAAAAGCAAGCAGTTTCTTAAACAATCCTCAGAGACTAGGTAATAGAAAGGATGGATGGGCAAATCAAGTTGGTGACTCAGTTATTAGTGCGTCTCTTACTCTTTTGTATAATTTTTAAACTTTTTTTCAATGATTTCGGTGATCACAGGTTTTCTGAATTTTTCATCTCCTAGAGAAGGAATCAGCTGACCACGTGTATAAATTGCCATCTTGATGTTCTGGAAAAAAATGAAATTCCAGAGTCATAACAGCTAACCATACTAACACATAAAACTTTATAAAACTATATTCAGAGTAAAACCATTTAGAGTCTAGGAATATTCTAGATACTGTGGGATCTGCTTTCCCAATATTTTAAAGGAATGATTTAATCAATATTTACTGGGCTTTTATTATTTGTTAAGATAATGTTTTTGCTTTTGAGTCACACAAAAACTGGGGAAATGATGATTTCTGTGTTTACATATATAGTGGCTTGAGTAAGAACGGCGCGACAGGCTCATCTATTTGAATGATGGTTGTCAGGGAGTGGCACTACTTGAGGATTGAAAGATTTCGGAGGTGTGGCCTTGTTGGAAATGTGTCACTGTGGGTGGGCTTTGAGGTTTCAAAAGTCCATGCCAGACCTGGGCAGTCTCTCTATCTCCTCTCTGTGCCCCCACCTCACCTCCTGCTGCCTGTGGATCAGGCTATAAGCTCTCAGCTGCAGGGCCACTAAAATAACGGACTAAGGCTTTGAAACTGTAAGCAAGCCCTCAACAAAATGCTTTATTTTATAAGAGCTGCTGTGGTCTTGGTGTATCTTTGAAGCACTAGAACGATGACTAAGACAACAGATTGGCAAGGTTGTCTTATCACTGAGATGATTTTTTTCCTTCAGTATAGCTTCCTCTGTTTACTCCAAAAGAAGAGAAGGCCCTGTTTACCCTCTTCAGGTAATGGCACAAACAGTACCTGCTTGTGGACAATGAGCGCCTGTATTCTCTAATGAAAGCCTGAGATCATTCTGTAGACTACTTTGGAGTAGGAGTGGGTAGGAGAGAGCAAGGAGTGCTTTGGAGATGGGTACTGTTCCAACCTGGGAAGAGGCAATGCATCACGGTTATATTGGACTTTATGTTTTATATTCAGTTTCCTAGTAAGGCCTTTGTCAGAAACAGCTATGTGGTGTACCATGAAGCCTGTATTCATGGCAGTGGATTCGGGTACTGTAAGGTTCCCATGTCCACATGATATGCAGATAACTACCAATATTGAAAGAACACAAGGGTTTGGCCAATGAACTGGTGAAAAATTAAAAAAATAAATTTCAAAAGAATCTATTCTGAATGTCTGGCTATGGGTCAGCCTTTTAGGTCTTTGTGGAAACATTTGTTAAATCCTTTGGTATTCTGACATGTAGCTTAAGAGGTTTTAATTTCATCCTAATAAGGAAATACGGACATTTCTTAAAAATCCAAATTTTTGGTTGCAAATGTTTACTTATTTCATTAGTGAGAGGTCTACTGATTGAAAGTTCAGTTCTTTTTATTTTTTGCTCTACATTTTTTGGATTAGTCAATAAATAGTTATAAAGTCAAAGTCTCATTATAGATTGCATGTTAATATTTATAAGTTAAGAGCATATACTAAACCTCAAATTAATGAAAAACCAATGGATCCAGACTCCAGGAAATCAACACACACAAAGTATGGTTTCCTTTATCTTAAGGTGGTATACAATAGATCAAAAGACCAGTTTTTCTGCCTTAATATAGAATGGTATTGAAGTCAGTTCTTTTTCTTTAAAATATCTGAGGAAGATGGGGGGGGGGGGAACAAAATGTTTCACAAATTATAGATTGAAATCTTTTGCTCCTCCCCCCAACTGCTATCCAAACGGAAAATAGAAGAGGCAACTACTTTCTAAGGGGGATTCTCTACCCAATCCATCTAGTGTACTATGAAGGCAGATATCAATAACATCATGGCTAATCAAAAAACCTTACAGAAATTTTTTTTTCTGCTCTCATCCAATTCACTGAACAGTCCTCCCCACCACTGACAGAAAATTTCCAGGCCCTTGAAACAGCTCTGGGGATAGGAGTATCCAGAATTATGGTTGCAGGACAGTAAATACTGAAATAATGAAAAGCGACAGAAAATATTTTTGGCATCTGGTGTTTGATAGAAGCCAGGGGCTTCAGGCATGGGAAATGCTCCCTCTTCATTTCCGAAAGAAGGCTTTCAACAAGCGTTGAAATGAAGATTTTTGCCACAATCAACTTTTAATCTAAAAGTTAAGAAAGTTCAAGTCACCCAACCGATCAGATCTCCATCCCTGTACAAGTAAGTGCATTTATGTAGGTGTGCGGTTTGCAAAGTGTTTTACAGTGTGTTGTATTTTTAAGTATACTTTTGACTTGACCTTCAGAATTTTATCCAACATTCTTACACGATTTATCCAGCACTAGTGTATATTAGGTTCCTAGGTCATCAAAAGAGTGAATGTTTTCAAGAATCCATCACAATCTGGCGCTAAGTCAGGACAAACAAGATCAATAAAAAGCAGAAAACTTAAACAGAATGATAGAAATAGACGTCTGGCCTGGTGAGGTTAGGCGAGAAGGTATTCCTAGTCAAAGAAAAGGCTTGTAAAAGGTCCTCGAGGAAGAGAAACAAGATACAGTTAATCTGGAGTAGACTTCAGGTCTACGTTGTTAGGAACTGGAGACTTTATTAAGCCCTCCATAAAGTCGGGACCAGTTCTCTGTTTGCTCAATTCTTTCACGTGTACCATCTCCGAGGAGGTGACCCACACCACCCCATGTTTCCGCCTACCTGGGGCGCTTCTCTATCTTCCATCTGCACCATACCAGCACCCCTCAATGGAGACCCAGTTTGCGTCTGCGGCACCGCCATCTTGGCGCCTCACGTGACTGACTGTAAGGCGTGGCCGGAGCGCCTGGGGCGGGACTCGCAGCTGGCTGACAGCTCGCTCCTCTCGCCGGGTCCGCCCCCACCCTGTCAAAAGCCGCGCCCCCCCCAGCTGGGCGGAGATTGGGCGTGGCGTCCGGAAATTGCGACTGCTCATTGGCTCCGAGGAAGGCCCAGGCGCCCGAGGGCCCGCCTCCGGCCAGCTTTGCTTGTCCTTTGCCTGCAATTTGTCAGCCTGGCCGCCTCTTGGCCAACCTGAAGGGAACCTGGGGCGGTTCGGGCTCAGGCCTGTTGCTGCGCGCCTTCTTCTCAGGGCGGCTGGGGTAGTCCAGCACTAGCAGCTCGCTCCTTCGGCCTGGTCGGTGTGTCAAGGCTGTGGCTTCTTGGGTTCCTCCTCAGAGCCTCCAGCCCGCCTCCCCGGCGCGGCCAGAGCAGCACGGGACTAGCCTGCTCTTCCCAGTCTTCAGTCCCCTCATAGTCCACCCTCAAGCCCCGCTTGGAAAGGGTCCAGTTAGAAATCCCCTCTCCCCTGCTCCCCCGAAGAGCCCTGGTCGGCCAGTGTTTCAGGGGTGGAGGGTGCTGCGAGGAGGCCAGGCGCGCTTCCGTGCACGTGAAATGCCCAGCAGCGTCTCCCAGACCCGCAACCCCCGACCCTCCGGTCTCCATGTCTTAGACAAGCCAAATTCGAGAGTTATATAATTTCTAGTGCTGCTGTTTCTCTTGCCCGAGGAAACACTTCATCGCGTGGAGGGTGCAGGACATTTCGGTGCTCTTCTGTATAAGACCGGGGTGTGGGCAGGGGTGGCCAGCGGTGGCAGAGAAATGTCTTTTCTGCAAAAGGAAGGTGGGTAGATTGGAGAAAGACTGAGAAAGGGTGGATGTGGAAGCCAAACAGCTGCACTCCCATTTAGGATATCGCGGACTATTTGCATAGTGTGTGGTTGCATGCCTAATACTACTACAGCATCTCTGAAAACACCTTTGGGGTAAGGTTTGGTTTCTCCTCTCCAGCAGCCTCAGTGTTTTTCCTTGCCGGATAGGGAGCTGCTTGGATGCAAAGAGATGGCATGATGTGAATGACTCCAGTGTGAAGAAGTCTGCTTCGCCAAATCATCCTGCATCAAGTGCCCATTGGATAGCACTGTCACTTTAATGTCTCCATGCCAAGGGATTGCTTTCCTTCTTTTCAATCCTCTCGGTTAATACACGGGAGGATCAGAATCAGAGGGGCATTAAGGATCAAGCTTTGGGGGCTTGGAGAGCACAGAAGAAAAATATGAAAGGGACAAGCTGGATCCTGTTTTACTGAGGGGGTGAGATCCGGAACCATTAAATAGAAGGGGGCCTTTGCATTTCTGTTCTGCCCCAGAAAACTGTTCAAACTCACACACCCTTTAAAAGACTAGAGTCAGACGTTTTTAAAAGTATTTTTGAAGGGGGAAGTTTAAACATTTTCCTAAGAATCGATGCTCTTTATTACCAACCATTTCGATCATGTATAAAGTAATGAGACAAAGATCCTAAAATTGGTCTGTGCCTTAACTGAGTTAGTCATTGAACATCCAAAAGTATTCCTGCCGGAAGAGAGGAGTTTTAATAACATTTTCTATGCAGACAATAACTTTCTCAGTTTTTAAAACAGAACACATATTTTACAAAAATTGAAAAACATTTTTTTTCCCTCTGAACACTGTGGGCAGTGTAAACTATTTGGTTCTGGAAAAATGCATCATTATTTTCTTTATTTGAAATAGAAGACTCAGCCTGAATATCAAGGCTGAAGCGTGAAGTGGTTTGCAACAGTTAACCTGGCTCCATCTCAATTCAGCTGGATCAAGCAGAGACTTGCAAAGGGATCTCGAGTCCAGTGTCAGTGGAGAGACCCAAGAATGCCAGTCAAGAAGAAAGGTGGGCTATGAGGTTCATATATAACATTTAAGTTTTCCTTTTTTTGGCTATGGTATTTGTAATTTATATTGTATTCCATTGGAGAGCAAAAATTTGCCTTGTTTTGAGTAAATACTCGTTGCATTACTATCTACTCAGTAGTACTTTTTCAGTAATATGCTATAGTAAAATTAAGATGATATAGACATATATGAATTAATAAATCAGGCACTTGGTGTCACCATTTATCATCAGAATAGATTCAGTGCTATAGATTTTGGGTTTTCCTTAGCTTGTTAAAGCTCAGTTTAAATACTATTTTAAAAAAGTAACTGGTACAATGGAGCTCTTTCCTATGAGCTTAATATTTATTGAATGATTATGTAGTTGTAGCAGATAGCAAAGTGATTGTGTTTGCCCTGAACAAAATTATAGCTTTATTATTTATAATTAAAAATAGACTTCATATTTGAGTTTATTCCACTGTAAACCTCCACTATTGTGGTAATTCACAACTTTGGTTCTTTATTCTTATAAATAACATGGTTATTATTCAATAACATGCTTGGGAAGTTCCCTCAAATAAGACATGCACTTGCTTTTTTCCCCCTTTCAATAACTGTTATAACTTTGATCAAAATCCAGTGGGGTTTCTGGAGCATCATTTATTATAGGTCAGAGACCTTACGGGTTCAATTTAGTCTAGATCTACCTGAGATGAACTTTATTCCATAGGACCTTAGTGAAATCTGTTTTTTAAAGATGCTTTTCTGTTTTTTAAAGATGACATCAGTAATAAAGTTTGTGGAGAGGTTTGAATAAAAATTAAGAACAACCTTGAAATTTACGGTTCTGGGCTAGTATAGTTTCAAATTTTGTTCAGTTATGTTGATTGCTATGCTATTGAACCTGAGACCACGCTAAGACATATTTTCATATAAGATCTAAAGAAATTATATGGCTTTTTTATGTTGTTCAATCCATCTGCTTGTGGGTTTGGATGATGTATTGAGAAAAATCCCAGTCAATGAGGTGCTTTTGTCTAAAATAGTGTATGTAAAGGGAAGCAGTGCTATCTAAACCTATTCAAACATCTACAATTGTGCTTTTCCTCCCTGGGGTTGAAAAGTAGGACTGTTTATCATTCCCCATAAGACCACTGGAAGGGGTGAGCTGTCTTTGATATTTTGGAGCTGTACCTGGCCATGTTGGCAATTGTTGGTTTATATGCAACAAGAAGGAAAGGTTTGGGAAATGAGGCCAATAAACAATGTCTTTGATTTCTTTAACTCAGTGTGTGTTTTTTACTCTATCTACTATTTCTGCAGACAAATATTTTTCTGAGTACTTTATTTCACTTTTCTTACAATTATAAATGGCAGAGAGAAGGAAGAGGGGAGGGAGGGAGGAAGAGAGAGGAGGAGAAATCACAATTGATGTTCTAGGTGTATCTTTATGTAAGCAGAGGGAACTTAAGGGGTCTAAAGCCAAAAGACTCACTTTCTTAAAAGTTGAAATATTTTTTAAAAACTTCTAGAAATTGTTGTCATATTATTGAAAGTTAATATTTCATGAGAAAATGTTACATTTGTTCTCTTTGTCTTCCTTCTTTAAAAAGTAAGTTGATACAATGAGATAAGTTTTTAAAGGTGATCATCAAGTTCTTCTGAAAAGGATTAGTGGAGTAACACTAATGAATCTGCATTATGGAAATAATTTAATGAATTGATCTAGAGAATTTATGTTGTTTTTAATTTTTAAAAAAGGTTAGTATTCACATACTTTTAAACAGAGACTAGTCAAATTATTGCATGAGTTTTGTATTTTAATTGCTAAATTTGGTATGTCTACTGCTTCTACAAACAAGAAAAGTGTTTTAAATTTCAATTCGATTTTATAGGTCAGACTACCCTTCATTCTTTTGAATGCTTTTCTCCATTAATTGTTACATGGCATAGATATGTGAGAAGGAGTTCGATGTAATGTGATGTAAAATAACTACCCCATTGAGCCAAGTGTCTACTCATTGTCAACTATATCCTCATCAGAATATGAAGTTTTCCTGAGACATATTTTCATTTGGTGCTTATTTTGCATATTATTTCCATGGTAGAGAGGATATTTCCTCACTGATAACCTGTGACCATGATGGGAAGTGGGAATGGGTGTGAGGTCTCATCAAACCCATCTGAGGGACCTATTGTTGGCCAGCAACAACTGCTCACCTCACACATGCTCTTCTGCATTACGGCCACTATTGCATCTGTTTGCAAGAGATCCATTCCTCTTCACATTGTTTTTACAGACCTCAGCTTTATCAACTGAAGACTCTTCTGTTCTGTTGTTACAATTTTTCTTGAGTTTTTTTTTTAATCCAAGATTCTATTATCTATAGTAGTAACTTGATTTACTCCCAACTGAACCTATAGGACATATTTTAGCTTGTAAAAAAATGTAGAGTTAATCCAAAGTAAGATATGATGCAAGGGCATAGAAGATTGAAGAAACTTTTTGAAACAAATGATAGAATTTCATATTAGTCATTAATGTTAGAAAAAAGTTAGTTATGGTTTGGGTTTCATGTTTTCAGTAGAAAGTTGTCATTTTAAGTTGTTCCAATGGAACTTTTTAGTGCAATGCAGTTTCGTTCTTGAAAATTTTGTCATAATTATTATATACAGGAAGGAAATCATTCTTTACAGTAATTGGCGATAAATGCCACTTTCATTTCTGTGGTTTTGTAAAAATGCTCTAGTTGTCTTCTGGGTATCTTTTATGCTGACATACAACTACCCCTGATATTAAGTCATTTACAGAATACTTTTCCCCTTTGAATTCTTTTTTTGCAGTTGTTCCCAATGTATAAAATGGGCATATATAAAGAGATGTTTACCATGTATTGAAACATTGTTTTCATATTCATTCTTTGACAATAAATATTTAGAAGAAAGCTGAATATTATGTATTTTGTTGTATATAATTTAGAATTCTAAAAATGATGATATCATATATCTTATAGGCACCCATAACATTGAGATTGGTATTTCCTATCCACAATCTTTTATGGCCTTGCTTTGATGATCTCGCTCATTTCTGACTTTATTTGGGGAAGGGACCTTATGACTATTCTCCTTATTCTTTCTTCATTTAAAGCTTTCTTCCCTCATTACTTGTTTCTGGCACTTTGTGGCTTAAGCTAGTTGGAGTGTATCTCTGACTTACGTTTGCCTCTCTTTACTGTCTTGTCTCCTCTTTCCATCTCTATCATTTCTTTCTGTTGCTTTCTGAGCTCTTGACCCTCCTGCCTCTATCTCTGGCTTGCTGGGATTACCGATGTGTGCTATCACACCACATTTGACTTCTAGCTCATCTTAAGTTAAAGAAATCTTTTGGAAGTTATAAATAGGAATACATATGCATGAATTTATTGATGGTTCCTGAATGGCTGCTGTTTTCCCTTTGCATTCATGTTTCTAAATTTATCTTTGATCTTTCATGTTTGCCATGGCAGGACTTTATCTAGATGCCTCTTCTAGCCTACGAAACTTCATTTTCATCCTCATGTTTTCCTCAAAACTAATAAAAACTCAAAAGAGTTATGCCCATATTTGCCCAGAAAATATTGAAAAAATAATTATCAAAGGTTTGAAAGTTCTCTAAGTAAATAATTTGCTTAGGATGTTTCTTTGCACTTTAAATTCTCTGAAGTCGTCATTTTGGTGTTGGTAGAGGAGGTTTGGAAATCATGAAGTCACAGGTTCTTGATGTTGGAAAACAACCAACAATCCAGGAGACATAAGGAGAGACTATTCTGGACAGAGAAAAAAAATATTTTTTTGTCTTCACATATTGATTTAGAGGTATGTTAAGAATCAAACAACAGCCATGAGGTAAACTGATCTATTAATTGTTTTTATTTTATACATGCTATATATTGGAAGTTGCAAATAATATAGTAATGACTTGATATATAAGAGGTGTGACATGCTAGGTTTTGGGGAAACTGCTCAGAGATCCATTCAAAACAGAACATTTAATCTTCATTTTAGGCTTGCTACTACTTACTTTTTTTGGGTAGCAGTCTAGTCAGTGAGAAGCTATACATAAAACATTGGATTTAAGGCGCAAAGCTACACAGAGAAACCCTGTCTTGAAAAACCAAAAAAAAAAAAAATTGGATTTAAAAAATGTTCAGTTAAGGCATTCAATCCATTCATGTTTGGTTTCTGATTATTATATAACTATATTCACTGAACTATAAGGACACTATTCTTTTGTAATCATATGTTCTCTTTATCTCCTCTTATTTCTTAATATTTACAGTTATCATGTCAGCGATTACTAAGTATTTTATAATGAGGCTGAGATGCACACCACCTTTTATATTGGGAGCACAGAATCTATTTTCTAGTCACAGTTCCTGCTCTGGAATTTGGAGCAGCAAAGATACAAGCGCTCTGCATCCTCCATGTAGGCTGCTTTGTCAGCAAAGGATCATGAGTTTCACCCAGACTCTTCTGTCCAGTCAGTCATTTCAAATTCCAGCTAGTAAGCTTTCTGCATGGGTTCAATTTTTAGTATGTTTTGCAAAGCTATTTCAAGACTTATGGCCTTATTCACCTCTAAAATGAAGTGGTGGTTCTGACCCCATTTATTTTAGGCCTTTTTAATCAAGAGCTGGCCATGATGTCTCATACCTGTTATCCAATTTCTTAGGAGGCTGAGGCAGGAAGATTGACATAAGTTTGAAGCTACTCAGGGCTACACAGTAAGCTTCAGACCAGCTTTGACTCCAGAGTTGAGACCCTGTCTCAAAAACAAACCAACAAACCAAAAAGATCAAGAGGAACAATGCAAGGTAAAAAATTCCTGTGAAAATGAATCATTTCATTTAAACTTCCAAAGATTATGGATAAGATTTTGTAGCCTCTCTCTTCTGATGATACTATCTTGCTAGCCCCTGAGGTTTTCTACCTAACCCCGTTGGGGTGGGATTCTAAGGCTTTTATTTGATTGGGAAC